GTAAAAAATTAATGTTACACCCAAGCACATAAAATCCCTCCCATATTTTTGACCCCCTCAATCCCACATATATGCACATACGAATGTAAACGTATGCGTTTCGGGCACTTACTCATCAAAAAAAGTTGATTGAGATACACATGTTACATGTTGCCAAGCAATAATTCTCGTACCTAGACGTCCACCATAAACACAAAACTGATGACCCATAGTAATAGGAGCTATAAAAGTGTCGTTTATGGAAAATATAGAGACTGAAGTTTGTTGCCATTTCACGGGTGCATGCAAATTTAGGGTTTGACATGTTGGGCATCTATTTACTCAGTGCAACCTCGTCTTTTATAGTTTACAAAAAATTGGGTAATTTATTGCATTTTTGTGCTGTAAAATTAACTTTAGTGTACTGTTTACCAAAATTTTCCATTTCCTAGATCTTTGCAGTAATAATGTGTGAAATAAAAAATTGGAACTGGTTTTAAAAAATAAAATTGGTTTTAAAAAATAAACAGTATAATGTTTTGGGGGGTTTATGTCATCTTCAGGGCTAAAATGATTTTTTAAACATGCAAAAAAATGCAGAAACCGATCTGGAAATGAAAGGGTTTAAAGTATGCGATTAGGTTAAAATATATGCCTCTTGTAGAATGACACCCATATGAAATGAATGCCCTTCCCCTAATTAAAGTATATAATCCTCCTATAATGGCTTGCTGAATGCACAGAGAAAAAAGTGCCTGGAAATTTTTTTTAAATGTTGGCAACTTAAAAGTGGTTTTAAAGGCTCAAAGGCTTTTTTTTTACCTTCATGCATTCTATGTGTGCAGCAGTGCCTCCAGCCCCCTTAATACCTAACTGAGCCTCATCGCAATCCAGCGATGCTGTCCCGGGTCTCTGTCTTCTCATTGGCTGAAACAGCAAGCGGGAGCCATTGCTTCCCGCTGTTGTCAATCACAGCCAGTCAGCCAATGAGGAGATAGAGGGGGAGGCACCAAGCCACGACCCTATGTGTGAATAGACACACAGAGCAGCAGTGGGTGCTCCCATAGCAAGCTGCTTGCTGTGGGGAACCCCGACGGGAGTGAAGGGCCAGGAGAGCCTGTGGGGGTGAGGGACCCGAAAAGAGGAGAATGCAGGCTGCTCTTTGCAAAACCACTGCACACAGTAGGTAAGTATAGCATGTTCGTTATTTAAAAAAAAAAAATGAACCTTTAGAATCGCTTTAACACCCAGTTACATCCCTGTCATCTACCTATTAATTTTATTTTTGGAAATTCATGTACTAAAATTGTTTTCCCAAACATTTTGGTGTCCACTTGATGGTACTTCTGTGTCTTTTCTGGGTCAAAGCCTTGAGGATGTTTTGTACAAGTTTGCCTCCATTAATGTTTGAGGAAAGATAACTTCTTGTTCATGAATTTTTAATGCATAATCTTGGCATGCCTTTGGTGTTGAGATAAAAAATATTCCCATATGCATGCATAAGAGTTACATCACCGCAGACTAGCAAATCAAGACAGCCAAAGAATCCAAGCTTGAAAGAGGATATAGAAAAGATGGAAGCTCCAGCAACAGAGTGACATGCGGAATCATGAATATCGCACAGGGATGTTTTGCAATCAGGGGTGGACTGACCATTTGGAAACTCTGGCACTACCCGAGGGCCCAGGGTCAGTAGCGGGCCCCATGAGATGCCCCTGGTACCTTTTTCATAGGCTTTTTTGAGTTTGGGCAAGGACACAGTGGCCCCATGATTCCCTATTGTACAGGATCCCCATGAGTTGTCAGTCCGCCCCTGTTTGCTATGTAAGTGTGCTATAATATACAAACATGGTGAACATAGTTGCATAATATGGTAAGAACTCCCGGGGACGGCGGCAACATATCTGGTTTAGTTATGCTTGACACACCAAAATTACATCCACTGCCATCATCCACCACTGCAGTGGCTGTTGTCATCCATTTTCTGTACCTAACCCCTCATTGATGGCAGTTGAGTAAAATAAAGTATAATCTGCCAATATATAGCTTCATTGCCTAAAGATGACCACAGTATATTTGCATTTAAATTTCCTTACCATTGTTGCAGTGATTTCCAGGACAGCACATGCCATCTCTGTGACAGCGTTTCTTCTTTCTTCTGCAGGCCATACAGGAGGAAGGAGCCTGATGAGGACTGTAGCAATATTTTCCTACTTCGCACTCTTTATCACTTATACAGGGATATACCTGAAATAAATAGCAGTAATAATGAAGGGTACATTTTTCCAGATCATTATATAGTACGAATGTGCACAAATATACCTAATAGGGAGTGCGCAAGCTAGGTGCCCATAGGGGCCAGTCAGCAAAAATCTAGTGCCAAGGCAAGTTGCTACCTCATCCCTTTAAAACCGAACACATATTAATTACACAGGTCCTGTGACTGATTAAGGTTGTAATTAAACTCACTTATGCAGGCCATACATGGGGCAAATTCGAAAAGAATTTTCTGTCGAAAATCGTAACTATGAATTTTCATTCGAATTTTGCACCATTAGTGGGATGCAGCATTGGCTGATTTGCGTGCAGCCATTTGAGTGATCGGGTATGTTGGAAATGTTTTGAAAAACAAACTAATTTCTAATCAATGATTGGAGAATTGTGCGAGAAGTATAATCGAAAAAAAATGAGCATGAGCTGTGACCTGGAAAAAAAAGATGCCCAGACACAAAAATTCCTTTTTTTAGTAACATGAGGTGAAATTGAAGGCTTGGTTGTTCATATTTCGAAATCAATGGTGGCACCACCGGATTGCAAAACGCACATGTCTGATTTTCTATAGAAAATTCGGTCACAATTGAACCCATGCATGGCCTGCATAAGTGCCTTACCTGCAATAAATTAGCCTCAGAACCTGTGTAATTGATATGTGTTTGGGTTTAAAAGGATGAGGTGGCAACCCTAGTGCCAAGTTGAACATTTATGTAAATTTTACCATACAAAGTAGGTCTTCCTAAAACACAAGTGTTCATTTATGCATGCAGAAACCATAGCTCTCGTTTATGATTCTTGCTCATCTCCTTTTGAACTCACAGAATTCTGCTGCCCACCAAATATGGTGGCTGTACTCAATGGTCAATAGAATGGTAAAGGGGGGTGGGAGTAATGACTGGTGAATTACTTCTGAATGGCACCCCCACGCATCACAGCCAGCAGTGCGATTGTGGGTGAGGGAACCACAGGGAAACCACATGATCAAAAAGCCACCCTTTCAAAAGGGTGCCACGCTTTCCAAAATGGTCAAATGAATGGGCCACTGTGCCCGAGCAAACGCGGACTGCACAGTCCGCAATAGTATGAACCAGGGCTAATATGGTACTGTGGGCTATAAATTTGAAGATTACTATTAAAAATGGTAATCTTATTATATTACATTCAATGATTATCCCATTTTATATTTGTACTGCTCACCATAGTATTGTGAATCCACAAAGCTTTTTCTCTGAAATAACAGTAACAGCAGGTATTTATTGCTCAAGTGGAATATAACTGATATAAATCAATTGCAATACAGATCTCCACTTAGGTTTCTTTGACTCCTTACATACTAGAATAATTATCTATAGTTTATGTTGGCTTCCAGATTGCACACTATGTTAGTAAAAATATCTGTGGCTGCCAATGCAGTCAGACCCTAATCCAGTTTGGCAGTATTATATCAAGACTGGTAATGCAGAAAGCTGCAATGTAAGGCTTGGAAAGGTGCCACTTGGGTATAGTAGAACAAGACACTCATTAACTCCTTTGCTTGTCTATATTAGGTCTGTGAGTTTGATTTCATCTCTTTATTGATATAAATAGGCTGCCAAGTTTTTTTTTTCTTCCCTGTACATTCAATGTTGTGGCAGTTTTCAGTTTTTTACTATTGGAACCAAATAATGAATCTTTCTGTATTCGAAGATTTTGGGCTATTATATTAGAAAGTAAATGTAGACACATATAAAGGACCCCTGTTTAATCCAACTATGCATTGAATAAATTGCTTAAATTATGTTTATAACACTAAATAAATCTGCCTGTTTACTAAACTCCTGTAATCACCTGCAAATCAGCATTAAGACTAGGAACAAGCTGCTGTTCCTTAATTGTCTAATTCCTGCCTTAAGGCTCCATGCACACTAGCGTTTTTTTCAAGCTAAAAATTAAAAAAAAAAATTGGTGACCCCATAGGGTAATGTCATAATGTGCTAGTATGCACTGCATGCTAGCACAATATAATAGACCTACCTAAAAAAATGTATCCCTTCAGTGGCACGCTGTCACTGTTGACAGAGCTTCCATTCTCACACAGTCCTCCTTCTGGGTTTGTGGGCTCCAGCTGTTTGAATGGCTGAGCCGCAATGATGTCACTCCCACGCATACAACCATGAGTCACAGTTGTGGCACACCTCTCTCAATGGACGGCATACTGGAGTGTGCCATCCATTGAGAGCACTGTGCGCATGTACTGGTAACATCAACAGCCTTCTACACATGTAAATATCTTTTAAATGGTGCATGTTTAGGAGATATTCACTGTATGTACAGATAAGCCTTACTATAGGCTTACCTGTAAGTACAAGATAAAAAGCAGTGTTTTCTACCACTTTAACCAAACTGTATTGATTTGATTGCAATGAAAATATAGTGGAGATGATTTACTAAAGCTAATAGGCTGCTCACTCTGCGGAGGAAGTTACACTTTGCAAGAGAATTTTCCCCAGAGCGTAAAATTTCATAATACCCAATCAAGTGCAAGAATTATGGTGATTCCAGATAGACAATTTTGCTGTTGGTAGTACATCATCCAGGGGCGGACTGACCATTTGGAAACTTGGGCACTGCTCGAGGGCCCGGGGTCAGTAGGGGGCCCCATGAGATGCCCCTGGTACCTTTTTTCCTAGCCTTTTTTGAGTTTGGGCAAGGACACAGGGGCTGCATGATCCCCTATTGACCGGGGGCCCCATGAGTTGTCAGTCCACCCCTGACATCATCATTGAATATTGGCTTTGCCTCCAACATATTCATATGTATAAGTACCATAGGTTAGCCATTATAACTCGATGGACATACCTTATTTGGTAAAAATGCTTGGAAGGGCAAGACAACATCCTAGATATAAGAGGGTTAACTATTTCCATCATGGTAATGGTAATGGTTAGTTTGGCCAATACTATATTTTAGCTTTTCTTGCTGTACAATTAAAGCACCCAAAGGTTTCTTATCTCTTACTGGGACTTTGGTAGTAATATAGCAGTGCTTTGAGTTCCCAAACTCTATCCAGAAAAGCTATTCTGGCTGTTATATGCACAAGAGCTTTTGGGTGGACTAACATCTTCATTTATCACACACAATGAACATTTAATTGGTTAATCTAACCTACTTTGCCACCAATCATGTAATACCTAATTCTGCATTTTATTAAATTAGTAGTTTAAAGGGAAACTTGACTTTTTATGAGAAATAAAAACATCCTCCACAACAAAAATGTAATTTTTGGTGAGATACTCTCATAGGATTAAAGGGATTCAGACACTGGAATTTCCTCTCAATAGAACACTGCAAGTATATCAGCTGGCTGATAATGAAAAAGTCACTTGCTTTCAGATTCACTTTGCACATTGACAAAATTTGTTAGAATCCTTACAATGTACAAGGATCACCCAGAAGGGATCAACAAAAGTGATTTCTCAACAAAAGTGGAACTACTCTTTAAGAGTAGCCAACCTCTTACATCCTTGGTTCATTTTGTATAACTGACAACTTATTTTTATACATGCTTTTAATTTTTGTTTTCACTTAAGCTGCGTATTTGAATCTATTTACAAGTTCAGTCTTTACCTATTTTCTGACTTTTATTGAAGCTGGGTAGGCACTCAGTATTTTGCAGCTGCAAGTGGTTGCCTAATGAATGTAGTGATGTAACAAAGGTGTCAAAGAAGAACTTAAACTTTTCATATCTTACTGTATTCATTACATTTGCTGTGTATTGTTGGCTTATACAGTGAGCAGATGCATTTGATGGTAGTGAAATGATGTCAGATTGTCAAAACATTGCTAGGGGATAGGTATTTAACAAAGGGAGCATATGCCTGTAACACATGGAAACTATAAGATGGTAATCTATAACAATACATGATCTAAAACCTTAAATAAGCACTGATACTTCAATTTAACTGAATGGTAGACTCAGTTTAAAAAAAAAGAAACAAACATTGGTCTGCAGTCAATTATCCAATGTATGTATTCTCCATTTTGGTTTTTACAATATGTTTGATTTTGTAATGGTACTGTGAAAGAATTTAATGGATATTTTTATGTTTTGGAATGTACAGAACAGACAGATACCTCTATAAAAATAGCCATGAACAAGAGCATAGTAAAGAATAAAAAATATAATATGGAAGAGTAATACTGCACTTGGATGTTTCTTGCTGTTACACTTCCAATACAATTGGAACTCTCTTGACCAAAGTCTGGATGTAAAATTTAACTGGTGTTACATTCTACTCACACATAATATGAACTGGCTCAAGGGATACACCCTATCCTCCAAATGGATCTAGTTTTTATCTTGGCATGTATCTTATTCACCTGGCCTTTTCTATATAGTTGCTGGTATCTGTATCTTCTGAATATCTATCCGCTGAGCCTAAAGAAATACAGGCCAATGCATTCCATGGCTACGGTACTACTCCCTTGTATCATGACAATCAGCTTTATTTCCAGATATCCCTTTAACAATGGAATTTTTTTTCTATTATTCGGTGTTATACATCTTTGTAAAATTTAATAACAATATAAATAAACAGCAATATAAGTATACAGTAGATGCAGTGCATCAGGAAGTACAACCAGTACAACAGTTAAAAGAATTTTTGATTGCATAGTTTTTTTTTGTTTTTTTTTTACAGCTGTGTTCTTTGAGATTATGTTCTTTCAATAGTTTTGCATTGTTCAAGCTTAGGTTTTGAACTATTATAATTAAATTTAAAAGTGATGAAATTAAAAAAAAAATCTATCATACCTCCCAATGTCTAAATCTTTCTGCAAAGCAAAATACTGATTCGTACATTATTTCAAGTCCCTTGGCAAATCAAATACATTATCAAGCATAAACCACTTTTCGGTTGTTTTCTTTCCATGGATTAAAGTGCTTCACATACCCTGAACAAAATATGTGCACAAATCTCTTGCTAAAGGAACCATCAACTATAACATAATTATGTGTCAACATTAATTTAAGAAGACTCAAGCTACACCACTGAGCATAAACGTTTTATACATGACGTCTTATTTAGCATGTTCGTATGCTTTTATTGTATTGTTTCATAAAAACTGAAATGCACTGAAGTCACCAAAATTACCTCATGCAAAGATGTAATACAATGGTTTGATAACACAGGAGACTGCGTCAGAAATCCAACTTCCCCTCTTCTTTAAAATTAAGTTCAGTAGATAAGTGAGGATTAGCTAATTTGTGAAATTCCTTACAACATAAATGGAAAAAGCTGAAATATTCCATGGACACCATTACTATGGAGCTTAAGTTTTGTACAAAATATTTAAACGGTGCTCCTTCTGTGTGATGACTAAATATATTAAAATGGTATTCCAGAATTTTGGGTTTATAAGGACTAGACTTTATCAGGATTTTATTGCAGCCACGTGCCCTGTTGGGGAGACTTTTCCCACTTCTCTGTGAGGACAATATCACTGGAATGGTAAGTGGTGGTAAATCTGCAATTGGGACACACACAGAAGTAGGGATGAAGCTTGAGTTCAGAGTTACAAAAGGTAATGTAGCTGTGGGCATAATATACTTGGACTTTGCAAAAGAATTTGACACAGTTCCCCACAGACAGTTAATGTGTAAATTAAGGCCCATAGGCTTAGAAAATTGAGTCTGGAATGGATAGCATACTGGCATAAAGACTGTATTCAGAACGTAGTGATTAATGATTCATACTCTAAATAGTCTAAGATTGTTTGTGGTGTACCCCAAAGCTTAGTGTTGAGACCTTTACATTTTCTGTTTCTGGACGTTTTCTGTTATTGGCTGAACTCTACAGACTTGTGTTTGTTACTATGTCAACTACATTATCTTAGGAAAAAAATGATGGCAGTGAAAGAGAGAATGGAAAGGTTAACAAAGGAAAACAGAAAAAGTTAATATAACATTAGGAAAATAAGTAACTATGCAACTGATTACTTCTATGCATTCTTGCCAGCTTTATAAATATTTAATATATAAAAAAGTGAATGTTTACTGAGCTTAGTAAATAAGGTCTGGTTGTGTTAAAGCCCAAGTTGAGTTATGTATATATATATATATATATATATATATATATATATATATATATATATATTCATTTATTTTTTAGTCAGCACAACGGATGTTGGTTACTTGTTATAGCTGAAACCCTCATAGCTGAAATCCAAAGTTCTCTGCCCCCCACTGCACACCCCATACCCAGGCTACGATAATACTCAGATGCTGGGTGGGGGAATAAAGTCACTGGACTGGTCACAGGCACTCATCAAGATGGACAACTATGCCCACATTTTCTGCCCCAATCCTCCATTCAAAAAAGCTTTACTATAGCTTACAGCACTGAAAAAAGACTCTAGGCATGGAGGATGGGTGCATGAATAAAAGGCCCACCGTCTTGATTGAAGCTATATACCAAATATGACTGGAGAAGGGGGAAGAAAAAGATTGGGCATAGTAGGGATTGGGCATAGTAGGCACCCTTGATGAGTGCCTGTGACAGATTCAGCCAATCATATTACCTGCTGCAGCACTTGAAAATTATAGCTGTGGCGGTATGTGGAGGGGGGCTTGGCAAAGGTGTTAGGATTTGAACTAAGAGAGCATACACCAGCATGAAGGACAATTCGTATGGAATGTTAGTACGGTCCCTTGTGCTGATATTTATTTTTTACTTTTAACTAACATTGGGTTTAACTTCAACTAATCACTCTAGCTAGCAAATGTTCTTTTTTAAATGTCCCCTTATTTACTATCATTCACTTTTCAAAATAACTTCCAAACACTTACCAAATAAACTTTAATTTATCCTAACTCAGCCATACACACAAGTGCTTTATAGATCAGATTCCAGAACTGTCCTCTCTTTGCTCAAAAGCCACATCAAGCTACACAAATCTGCATTACATGTTCACTTTTAAATCAGTTGAAATTAACTGCTCTTTACCAAATATATTGGCTTATGAATTGTTTGCAAGTCTCAGCTGCATACCAATCGATACAGAGAAATTAGTAGTGATGTTGCTGAAGTGATCAGACAAATTGCGACATTAACTTTGATCAATAAATTGCTTGAAGACATCAGCTTTGAACAGTAAACTACTTATCACCAGCATGTTAAAATGTTCATTAAATCAGATTTTTTTTGTAAAGACACTTGCTGGTAAAGAAGCCAGGTTCAATGTTTCAAAGCCATGTAGAGTCCCCTTTGTCAGGCAGACTGCTTGACAAAGGGCACCCTGAGTGGCCCTGAAACAACAATAAAGTCAGACTGAAGTATTTCTTAGGGCAAAACTTTTTTTAATTTTAGATTGAGCAGAAACGGTTCAAACCAGGGGCGGACTGACAACTCATGGGGCCCCCGGGTAATAGGGGATCATGGGGCCCTTGTGTCCTTGCCCACACTCAAACCACACCCAAAAAAAGCCTATGAAAGGTACCAGGGGCATCTCATGGGGCCCCCTACTGACCCTGGGCCCTCGGGCAGCGCCCGAGTGCCCGAATGGTCAATCCGCCCCTGGTTCAAACCCTTTCAGGTTTTTGCTGCATCTATGTCCCATTGGGGAGATTTTCCTTTACTTCCTGTCTGGGAAGTGAGTGGAAATCTCTCCAAAGTGAGGGAAATACCATTATCAAAAGGAATATATTGGTCACGAGCAGGGGCGGACTGACAACTTATGGGGCCCCCGGGCAATAGGGGATCATGGGGCCCCTGTGTCCTTGCCCAAACTCAAAAAATCCTATGAAAAAGGTACCAGGGGCATCTCATGGGGCCC